CCAGCTATTTCAACAGTGAAGAAGATTGTAATTATTCACCTGTTAAAGTAAATGTGGCTGTAACACATTTGAACACAGCTGAAAAGGGAAGAGGATGGAGGCTAGGTAGGCAGATGCTGCCTCAGCATATCATCTGTGAGAAATGCATTTACAGCTCTTTGTAGGAAATCTGCTATATATTTGAGAGAGTTTGTCTGTCTGTTCAAGAACTCCTCCCAAAGTGCTAGAACCACCACATTTGGTATTTAGCTTCCTCGTCTCATAAGTAAAAGCAAGGTCAGGGTTTGGTTGTGCCAGGAAAATGGGATGTGCCTGGAATGGGATTGCTTCTTAGAAAAAAACATACAAAAAAGATACAGAATCACCAGGTTAGACATTAACACATCACCTTGAAATTTAATCCATAAGCTATGATTTAGGCTGAGCTGGTAGTGTTGCATATATCTAAACTTGGCCCCCGCTTCCCACAGTAAATCTCATTTTCTATTGCTTATAACTTTGCTAAATTTTAACCAGCCAAATTGAAATGTTCCATGTTGGGGATCTGCCTCAGGCTAAAATGTTTTGGGAATGTTTCTGTTTTCTATTAGATTGTTTGGCCCAGGTTTAAAAAAATCATATAATCATGTAATTAAGGCTTTGTCTACACTGGGAGTTTTTGCGGCAGAAAATATGCTAATGAGGGACCCATTAGCATAAGTCGTGATATCATTAGCATATTTTCTGCCATTCTTTTTGTGCATGGGGTTTTTGCAAAAAGAAGCAGTATGGCAAGATCATTATGCCTCTCCAGGACAGGTATAAGGATCTTGTGTAAAATGGGGGTTTTGCTAGCCGGGGGCACCGTCTCCACATCTGGGACTGTCCAAGCCCTGAGTCTCCCACCCTCAGGTGCCCTTTAGGGAAGGTAGGAGGGAGGGGGACTGAAGCTCCCCACCCCCTGATTCATACGGGAACATTGCTGGGTGTTCCTCTTCGTCAGGGAACGAGGGGAAAGTACAGAGTTTGCTGCATTCCTCACTCTGGCTGGGGACTGCAGCAGGCAGGCGAACCTGGACCTGCCCCAGTTAGGGGACATGCATCTTTCCTCTGGCTATGCTCACTGGAATGGCAGTGGCATGGGGGGGCGCTTCTCACCTGGCTCCAAGGTATTGTGGTGAGAGAGGGCTGGGGTAGTCCTCTCTCCCCAGGATAGCCTGCATATTGAATCCCCCATCCTCAGCTCCAGGTAAGGACCTGAGCAACACCAAGTAAATCTTCTACAGGTTGGACCTTCCTCGTCCAGCACCCTCAGGATCTGACTGGTCCCAAATAAGGGATTTTGCAGAACCAGAGAGATCATTTCTAGCCACCTGCCACTGCCCCCTCCCAGCCCTGGCCTGGTTGTTGGCCTCCTGGCTGACTCCCCTTCTGCCACCAGCTGGCCCCACCGGGCTTCCCTGCCCCGCTGGGCAGTCCCACCAGGGAGCCCCACTGGCAGCTTGCTGCCAGCAGCCCTCTGCCCTTCCAGCCCACAGGGCTTCCAGCTGCCAGTCCTCCACTGGGATTGTCTAGTTCTGGAGCATCTGTGGTCCTGTCAGATTAGAGAAGTCCAATAAAACACCTCATCATATAAAGCAAAGTGTAGTTCCTGTAGAAGGAACGTTGCTTTCCCCTTGACAGAGCTGTCCTACTTACGGTAAAGTAAAGACTGTTTTCAGTGAGAACTTTTGTTCTATAGATTTAAAAATCTCTCTCTCTGTCTGTCTAATGTGAGGTGAAATGTGACCTCGCAGTCGCCTCTTCTACAAGCAAGCAATGTACTTTTAGCTACCGTTATTTTCTAACCCACCTCACAAGCAATTAGGAGTTTTACCATCTTTAGTCTCTGATCTAGAAGCAGGGCATGTGACCTCATTCAGGCCTTGGTGCCCCATCGTGCCGGGTGCTCCGGCCCATGGTGCTTCACCAGCATAACACTGGGGGACTGCAGGGTGGAATTGGGCTCACTGAATGTGACAGTCACTTCTACTTCAGGGAGTCTCAGACCTGGGCTCTTCATCGAGGCCATTTTAGAGAGTGGAGAAGGGATGGCTGAGCCCACCACTGGGGGAGGGGTTTACATTGTCTCTTATACTAGCCCTGCATAAGATGCTCTTTTGTACAGGGAACCATCTGCCAGCTGAGGCGGCTCTGACAGCTCCGTTCTGTGGATGTGACAAGCCCTTTTCCTGATCCTTCCATGGGACACGAGGTCAAATATCACCCCGAAGGGAAAAATTGGGAGGCAGCTCCAGGAGAGAGCCCCTAGAGCGAGCTCTCTCCCCTTATCCTTGTCCTCTCCCAGCGGTTTTTTTTCCCTCTGTATCAGGGACTTGCCCTCGCCCTGAGCAAAGAGTGCAGTTCTGAGCTGACAGCGAGTAGTTCATTTGCCTATAGATGCAAGGAGGCACCGTGTGAGGGACAGGATATGCCCGAGCCTGTCCTGTCAAAGGAAGAAAGGTTCCCATCTGAGCTGATTCAGAGGAAGAAAATTGAGCTGACAGCTAATGGTGCTACTGGGGAAACCCTTCATTCACAGTGCTAAAAGTCTGCTTGTGTGTATGTTGTAGCTGGTTTTACTGGCACAGGGTGACTTGCTGCGGGGCAGGGGAAAGGACATCGTACTGGCACTTTTGAAAACAAGCAGCCTCTCTGTCCTGATCCTATACATAAATGTGAAACAGGTTAAATCATGACCCTTTGTCTAAAACATCTGGGGGCTGCTACCAAGCAACGGTGAGGGAGAAACTCTGCTCATCAAAATCAGGTTGTGGGCAAACTGATGGTAAAACCTGCTTTAAAGTGGTAGTGAAGTTCCTGCTGTTTAACAGAAAGTTTTATGATAAGATCACGTTCGTTACAAAAACAGGCAACACAAGTTCTGTAATTCATTTAGCCAAGACAAAGTGCTTGATGAAGACCTGCCTTCTGAGACAATTTAGAGAAAGGTGCCGCTCAGTACAGCATTCAGCATAGCTACAACGGGCCAGATCCTCGCTTTCAATGCCATTGGCGTCAGTGTAGTTTCACCGGTTTGCACTGGGCAATGATCTGGTCCAATAAACCTGTTTTTCCACTGCCTTGCCCCGTGTGTGTGCCTTCACAGGTGTGCAACATGGCAGTTCTGAGTGTATTAATGATAACAAATCAAAACAGCAGCCGTTTGCACCCACTTGAGGAATTAAAAACTTTGTGACAGCTGCTTTGTGACAGCAGCTAATAATTCTTTTGGTGAATTACTTCCAAAAGCTGGAAACATTTTAGAGGTGCTTATAATGGCTTTTCAGAAACAAGTGGCCAAGTTGCAATGACATGACACATAAGCAAATGTGTTCCTGTGACAGCTGTGTCATTTATGACTTTTGTGATAACTACTGAAATTGTGATAACTACTGAAAGAGCTGTAAGCTGTAGCTGCCCTCTGAAAAATGGCTATTTAGGCTCTATTCAATATTTTGGTATGTCTTGGGGTAAAGGCCAGAGTATTGTGACCCTATTTCATTTTCTGGATGCCATTGGACCTGATTCCCGGTTGTCCTGCATCTTTCTCCCTTTGCAAAATGGGTCTGATCTGTTACTGGTTGCACCTCCCTAAACTGGGACTCCCTGGGTCTGGCAACATCCCTAGTCTGGCAGGACTATGGATGTTATAGGACCAGAGAGCCCCAGGGCCAAAAGCCCAGTGGCAGGAGAACTGGCAGCGGGGAGCCCTGCTGATCTGAAAGCCCAGGGGCATGGAAGCTGATGGCTAGAAGCCCTGCCAGGGCCAGAGCTTGCAGAAGTGGGGCTGAGGCCAGCAGCCGTGATGCTGGTGACTGGCATCCAGCAACGGGGCCAGGCCTGGCATTTGGCAGCCCAGCCTGGGCCGATGTCTGGGGCTGGTGTCTGGGGCCAGGGCCGGCATCAGCAGAGCTGGCAGTCAGCAGCCCAGCTGGGGCCGGCAACCCAGCCAGGTTGTTGTTGGCGGGGGTTGAGGGGAGGGAAGGGGAAGGAGGGCGGTGTCCATCTGGCAGCCCAGTCAGGCTGGGAGCAGAGTAGTTCGCTGAGACCAAAAGCAATGCTGATGGTGGGGGGACGGGGGGCTGGGGAAATTGTACCTGGTCTAGCAAATTTGGGTCCAGTCAGGTCCTAAGGGTGCAGGACCAGCGAGGGCCAACTTGTACCACCTACTTTCACTTTGTACAGCAAGTAGCTTGCCCAAGTAGCATGTCACTGCCATCTGTCACATTGCTTTTACGTCACATCTTTGAACCTTGGTATACCAACAAGCTCATGTGAAGTGCTGGCTCCTACCAGAAAGATTGCCTCCAGCTGCCAGGAGATGCAAAGGTGCTCTGACGTGCCACTTATTTCCAGAAAGGAAAGTATGTTCAAAATAGACACGGATTCATGGTCTCAAAAAGTGATCAGTGTGGCCAGGGGATTATTAATGATCTTGGGCAAATCCAGGATATATGTGCAAAGGCAGAGCTCTGAGCGCTATGAACGCATTAGCTAGAAAATGTTAGTTTGCCTTGGTAGTGCAGTTTTAGATTTATAACTAAAATAGGTCCATTGCAACACACCCACATTACAGTCTAAAAAGCAAATCACTTAGTGGCACTGTCATGCACTAATGACACCTACTCTGTTCTTATTCCACAGGAAGTGTGTCTGATAGATAATTAAGCCTATAAAAGGTCACTGATGGGAAGTTAAAATGTTCACCCAGGTTAAATTTTCCAATATAGAGCAAATGTAGATCTCACAGAGATGGATCAAACCATGCTGCCCTCCTCCAAGTCCTAACACAGTACATTTCCGGGGATTCAAGCCTTGTTTGCTGACCTGGGTCCAAATTTTAAACACAGTTTACATTGACTAATTTATTGCTAAGGAAAGAAGCTTAATCAAATGAACTAAATCCAACATTACAGAGCAACTGCATACTAAACATGAGAATAGACATGACTAATACATACATGTTGATTCTTTCACAGATACAATGGTTTCATTTATACCTACAGAGTGTCCAAGACAGACACGGGTTCCTGGAGTGCTGAGGTACGTATCGCTCCTTCTCTTCTAAAAGTCCCCACAAATGAGTATAGGTATTGATTTCAGGAACATGCTGTTCACCTTTCTGCAATATCTGATTCTCATGTAATTTAATCATTCTCAAGTGAGGCTGTCACCGGTGCCAGGTCTGATAATTCTGAATGCACAAATTCATTCTGTCACAGTTCAGCTGTTACAGAAATGCACCAGTGCATTAGTTTGCATCATTTTAAATGGCAGCAATATTGTGTTTTCCTACTTTGACAGGCACAGTCAATATTAATTTTTCCTCTATCAAACATACCATTAATACCAGAATATTCAAAGCAATTCCCTATAATTTACATTTTTAACTTAATTTCTCTACAGATTGTATTTATCAATAGCACAAGGAACATACATGACAGCTGAGATTTGATATAACATTCATCGTCACTTGTGCTGTGAGAAAACTCCGGACTGGTATAGCCATATGTACAATTATCACAGTGATTTAATTTTGTGGCAAAATTTAGGTTCGTGTGACTACTCATCCTTATTTATTTTCAGACGTTCATGCTCTCTGTCTAGATTTAGTCAGCCTATTAATTCATAATTAGCTTTCAGGTTGCACGTTAATGAACACTGATTTAAAAAAATTAAAATATAATTTAAGAGGCTTAGTTCTTCTGGCCAAATTAGAGCAGAGTATGTTGTATTTGCACATTAAACACCTGGACCAGAGTCTCATGTCAGTCAGGATCCAACCCTAGAGTTTGGCATTGGCTTCAGTGGGCATCTTGTCTGCAGTGGGGCATAGAGGAAGGCCCTAGCATTGGACCTGAAACACAGCATGTGAGCACATAGTTACTCTTCCCAAACCAGGGAGACTTGCACAGTCCCAAATCTGAAGCTATAGGACAAAATTCAACAGGCCAGATTCTGGTCTTACCTCATGTACAAATCTCCTAGCCTCCGGGAGGATGTAGGGCAGAATGTATCCCATTGTGCTCCTTTCCTGAAAGGAAACTGGTACTTTCATAAGCTGTGGGTGAAAGAGCAGAAATTTCTGAGGGACATGGTGGCGCTATGCACATTGTAGGAGGACAGACCGCTTCAATAAATGTTTGGCAGGGTCAGGCTGGAGCCCGGGCAAAGCCAAGCCTTTATTTTGGGAGCGGGGTTAAGCAATCACTGGCTGGCTCCATCTCCCACTGTGGTAGCAGAAAGGGAGGCAGGCATGAATGCAGCACCAGCCAGAACACCCTCTTCCAGCAACAGCAGCACGGTAGAAAGCTTGTAGGGTTGGATCCTCCTTCCGGCAACTGGAGAGCCTGGGTCAGGGTTGGGGGGAACCTCTAACCCTTAGGGAAATGGGTGCTGAGTAGACATGTGCAGGCTAAGCTTTGCCCTCAATCACAACTCCTTAAATGTGAGTTACTCATGGTAGCATTTGCCTCATCCCTGCCCCATCAGCTGCCTCCCTTCTCTCTTTCTGAGGTTGGTTTATTTATGAAAGAATCAAAGTGGAGCCTCACAGGAGACAATTTCAAAATACTGACATCCAGGCCCCACCAAGCCAGTAGAAAAACTCTCATTATCTTCAGTGGAGCAAGGATTTCCCCCATGGGAGGTGCAGAGGTGCAGCTTGCCCTGTCCCCCCACCTCACCACCACAGGCGTGTAAATGATGAATACTGCACACGCTCTGCCCCACGGAGCTGGGTGAGGAGTGTTCAGGACCAGCAGGAAAGGCAGAAGAGACGCACTGAGTCATTTAACAGTTGCTTTAGATAGGCCTCCTGATGGGGGGAGGGAGAAAAGGGAGCAGCAGCAGCCTGAAACCCCAGGTCCTTTCAATTGCAGCCAGAGCCATGCGTGGCGCACTGCAGGCAGTGCTGAGAGCTGGGGTGGGGGAGGTTGTGCTGTGGTCCGGGTGGTGCTCAGGGCTAGCTGCTCTGAGCCTGCCCAGTCCACTGGAAGTCCTGTCCCTTCAGGTGCTCAGAGCTGTCCTCCCTACCCTGCCTAGGATCCTGACGAGGTTGTTGGTTCCCTCGACTTTAGATGTCAAGTAAAAGCCCTCGAGGACAGTGGTGCTTTGTGATGAGTATCTGCAAAGATTAAATGAGAAGGATGGACAAAGTGATTTCAATTCTCTAAGCAACAGTTTACAGGTGCTTTTTGGTGCAAAGAAATGATTAATTAATAGATGTAAATAAAACCCTTTGCCACCAGTGGAGTGCAATGTAGATGCACCCTTATTGTCTCAGTGAACACCAGGGTATGTTGACCGCCCCTGTTGATGTTTTTAAAGCCTGGGAAACTAGATTAACAAGCTGGAGCCTAAAATAAAATCATGAGTAGGACTTAAAAGTGGCAGATGAGAGGGCTGATATGGACTATCAGTGTGAAGAAAGTTCTACCAGTATCACTGGAGAATTGTCTGTGTAATTGTTATCGCTGCTGAAGACACAACAGAAGAGCTCATTTTTTCCAGATCCCAGGTGGAGTTCACATTACAGCAGGAGGTCAATTTTTTTTTTTACAGCTTTTTGCTTTGTGAAAAAAGTGAGGCAATCTGACAGGGAAGTGACTGGGTCCGTACGTGGCATTCCCCACAGGGGGATCACTTCTTAGAGTGATTGTCCTGACTAGACAGCAATACTTCAGGTGTGGCCAACCATTCTGGGCAAAGAGCCAAGATAGCAATGGATCCAGCACGAAGAGCCAGGGCAAAGTTGTCGAGCAAAAAAAACCCTGCCCTTTCTGCCCCTTTAAAAAGAGTCCCCCCAGTCGCCTTTGGTTGAGAGAGGGAGAGAAAAAAAGCTCTGCCTCTTTAAGAAAATGCCATCACATTGCCAGTTCCAGGAACCATCAGAAGAGATCCTGGTGGTGCTGAAGGCCCTTCACTTCGCCAGAGGCATGTAGATTAGGCTACCCGACACAGTAAAATGAAGCGGCGATTTAAATAATCGCCGCTTCATTTAAATTTACATGTCTGCCGCGCTGAGCCGACAAACAGCTGATCAGCTGTTTGTCGGCTCAGCGCGGCAGCCATGTAAATTTAAATGAAGCAGCGATTATTTAAATCGCCGCTTCATTTTACTGTGTCGGGTAGCCTAATCTACATGCCTCTGACAACAGAGGCATGTAGTCTAGACGTACCCATGGTGTGAAACCAAGATCACAGTAACCCTGGCTGGGTTTTACTTGCTATCCTTCTGTAGCACCATTATCTGGCTATTTCCTTTCATTCTTTCTGTACAGTAGAACTGACAGATGGAGCAGAAATTTCTATAATACTCCTAGGACTTATTTAAAGCAACATTTCTTAGTTTGTTCCCACAGTTTTTATTCCAGCAACATTTTAATTGACATGAGTGAGAGATTTGCCCAAGTGACACTGCTGGTGCTCATCTGTATTGACTCCAAGGCTTTATTCCTCAGGACTGTTATTAACAGAGAGCACTGGCTCACTGCAGTGACCATTTTAGTGAATGTGTGGAGTCAACAGCCTCTCTGTTTTACCCCACGGAAGTGACAGGCATGAGGCGAGGAATGCGTCTGCTCTTCATGGCGGCCTTGGGAGACTGTGGTGGCAGAAGCACCAGTTGGGCTGCAGTGCAGACAACAAGGGCTTGGCTAGGACCGACACACACTGGCTACACTCCTGGGAAAGGGAGAGGAGAGCGGACAGCACCGTCAGTGCTCTGTAAAATACAATCCAATTTCTTGGCATGCTGCTGTTTTTACCCTTGTGAAAAATCATGCTGCTCTGGAACACCATGTGGGAGCTGGGTGGAGGCGTTCCTCTGTAGCTTGTTGTTGCTATAATTTATGTTGGTCTCTTCACTTCACAGACTGCACCGGGGGTCCACAGAAGGTTGTTCCGGAAAGTACACAACCTAATTACAGCATTCCAGAAGCCAGATCAAGGCATTGTAACTCCGCTGCAGCACCCTGTAGTGAATGATGCGAAAGCTAAGCACCCACAAGGTACTGTGAGGAGCACGTGGGATCAGAATGTGTAGGCCTGTGGTATTTGCCATCAAATGAGGAAGATTCACTCTGGCCCCTCCCAACCCACAAGCAGGTGTAACCCAGAGGCATGCAGACCATTCTGTGCTACTGCCTTAGCTACCTGCATGAGCTGAAAGCCAACTCGCTGGTACTAAACCTTTCAATGGTCTCCATGCCTCTAGTTACAAGTGCATGGCTGTGGAACTAGTTCAGTGCACTAAGGAGCCAGGACCAGGCAGTCCCCATCATGTGCACACTGCAGAGCTACATCCACGATTGCAGACAAGGGCGTGGCAAAGCTGTGGTGTTACTGACCTGCTTCCCTTAATGGGAGAAGAAATGCTCGTGAGGAGCTGAAGCAACAGTTGCATGGTGGCTGTGCTGGTATTCTCCAGCTCGGAGGAGAGTGTCTGTTTCATCCTGTCTGAACAGCGCTGACCGTTGGGTAGAGAGAATTCAGGCGTGTTTGCTTCTCTTACCCTCTAGCGTTCACTAAAACAGCATTCAGACAACGCCTAATGTCTGAAAAACTGTCATCCTCCTAGCACCTCGTCTAAATTGTGGGGTCTTGTTGAGTGTCTTGTGGTGCTTGCAAGGGAGTTTATATCCAACTGCCATGTTGTATGTGAAAATATTTATTTTAGAACAGCCCACTTACATCAATGATAGACAAGATATAGTTAACCCACATGCCTCCTAGTAAATACAAAGACTATGGGCTTTTGCCTTCTTGCAGAGTTCATACTCTTACCTTTTGTGTTGTTTTTTGTTTTTTTTTTGTAGGGAGGAAGGAAGACAATGACTTTTATTTGCATCCTTCATGAACATACTTCCCAGAGTCTGAAGTAATTTAAATAGGCTTTTATGTCTTTTTTGTACATACTCCAGCATAAAATGCTGTAGATTATAGACATTACAACTCTGTGAGTTTTCCTGTAATATTTTCAAAAATGTATGTTTAATGCAACTTCTAGGCTGCCGTTTAAAAGATTGGCATGAATCTGTTGTTGTTTTTATAAAGATATGGGAGAAAAATTACTGGCAATTGGATGACAATATTTCCATTTTCTCTTGGTGCTTGGGAGCTTTCTATGTGAATGTTAGTCAGTCTTTTGATATGAAGTTACCGTACTGTTTGATTTCTGATTGAAATTCAGCCCTGTACAAGTCCTATGTATCACTTAAGACCCATTTAGGTTCACAAAATGGTGGCTTTTATGCTGCAAATGTCTTGTGCTGGCTCTTTGTTCAAGAATGAATATAACCCCAGAAGCACATTTCAAAGGTGCGGGTCTGCATCTTCCCAGGAATTCAATTTTACATTTGTATCATACGCATCATCCACTAATTGCTGGATCTGATGGCATTCTTGTCCCATCTGGAAAAATAACCTTTACTTTCCACCCAAGTTCAACCATCAAAACTGACCAACACAACCTGAACGTCGCAACTCCCGGCTGTGAGCCAGCCAAAATTTAAAAAATGTGTTGAATCTTTTTGAACCAAACGAATGTGAGGAAATTGTTTATGGATGTTCTGGGAGCTGGAGAGAGGGGGCTAATTATGTTAAATGGGGGAGGAGCCTGCAGCGGAGGGAAGGGTTGAGGAGCCTCTGGCAAAATGAGAAATGACACACATTTAAAGCAAGGGCATGTGTGAGGTGCATGCTGATAGCACACGTTGTGAGAGAGCTGCACACTTCCTCTACTTCTTTGTGTTACTTTTGTGGGCAATGCAATTTGACCCTAGTGTGTTGGAAAGCCATGGTAAAGCAAGAGAATGAAGCAATGTATTTAATCTTATCCCTGGGGCTATGGTTAGTGCATGTGTCTGATTTCAATCTTGCCCACTGAGATGGAGGGCCTCTCATGCGGCCCACTCACCGGCCCTGGCTGTCCATCCCTGGCCTAAAACAAA